GCTTGAAGGGGTGGAGGGAGATGAAGGTATAAAGGAATGCTGTCAACTTAAAAAGTTGCATGGTTTTGAAGTTGGTAGCGAAAAAAAGTTAACCACCATGAATTTCCATACTCCTTAAAATAATTTCATTATCAAATAGTCAATTTACAATTAGGAAGATGGGGTCTTTTTATGGATTTTGGTAAACTAGATTTTTGCACTGGCAGTGTTACTAGACCCAAAGTTTCTGCCAGTCAGAGCCCTCCAGGTACTGGAGCATGTGAACGCCTCCCAAAATTATTTATTCTCATACAAATACGGGAGTACTATTATTGGCATTTTAAATGCAGAGAGACTAAGGGACTTGTTAAAAGTCACACATGGAGTCCATGGCACAGAAAGGAAATGAACTGGGATCTGTGGCATCCTAGACAATTGCTCCAACCATTCCATACTCCTTACTCTTGGGAGGAGATATAGGTATAGGATGCAACAGGAGGTATGTAAAGATAGCCAGGCACTAACAGGAGCAGTGCTGTTGGTGGAGAGGTGAGGAGAAAAGAGAGCTGAAGCACAGGGATGAGATCAGCGAATGGGAGATATACAGCAAGTTACAGTGAGTTAGTAGGGCCTCCGTTACCCTGATATTATTAAATATGTAAAACAATGGTAGCATGCACCAGCCCCTCCAACACAAACTGATGTCTCTGCAAGTTGTAGTACGAAGGCACGGGCAGAAGGAAAGGGACGAGGCGGTAGAAAAGCAGCACTGGGACTTGAGCAGAGTGCTAGGTTTTCTTCCTAGCTCTGCCCCTGGATTGCTGAGTGAGCCTGTGCAAGTCCCAGCCCTGCTTGGTGCCTCAGTTTCCCCGGCTGGTAAAACGGGCACGATGGCTTCATGTCACCGGGCTGCTACGTGAGAACTAGACGGTGGTGTTACCACCCGCCAGGGAGAGATGCTGGTGATGGGGCAGCCAGGGGTAGCTCTGGGGAGCAGGAGGCAGGGGCTGAGGGGGGCTCAAGGCTTGTGCAATGCTGAGGGGCTTGCACCGTGCAGCTGTAGGGGGCTGGCGGGGTTAACCTACGGGAATAGCAGGGGTGGGGAGGGGCTCAGCCCCTGCCTGCATTTTCCCTCCAAAATCTACCCACGCCAGGCCGAGTGGCGAATCTGCTGATCCGGCTCCATCTCCCGGTCCGTCTCAGCTCTCACCCCAATAATAAAACCGGGGCCGAATACACCCGATGGGGATGGGGGTGGGTCTGAGAGGCCAGGCCGCGCCGCTGGGCTGCTCCACTGACAGGGCGACTCGTGGCGAATCTACCACCACCAATGCAGCCAATCTACCCACGCCAGGCCGAGTGGCGAATCTGCTGATCCGGCTCCATCTCCCGGTCCGTCTCAGCTCTCACCCCAATAATAAAACCGGGGCCGAATACACCCGATGGGGATGGGGGTGGGTCTGAGAGGCCAGGCCGCGCCGCTGGGCTGCTCCACTGACAGGGCGACTCGTGGCGAATCTACCACCACCAATGCAGCCTTGGGCTCGCGGGCTGTTATCGGCTGCTCTCTCTCATAGCAACTTGAGTGTGGGGCGTCCTCCTCTCCACCCCCCTCTGCCCCGCGGGGAGGAAGGGGTGGAGCCCAGCCCGCCGTGATGGTTCGAACAGACCAATAGCGTGGGGCGGGCTGCGCCGTCCCCCCATGAG